TAATATACAATATAACAATTGTTTAATTTTAGTGTGTGTTGTTACTTTTATTTGTTTTTTTTTTTTTTTCAGTTTTAACATTGCGTGTGTTACTTTTGGGAACATGTGTGTCAATGTCACACAAAAGAAATAATAATTTTATTTCATTTTACTTCACATACAGCCCATGATTCATGGACAAACTTTCACACTCTTATGACAAAGGTGGGTGATCATAGCAAAAATTTACATTTGGGATGATGAACGATAGTCATTCTTACAAGGGAAACTAATTTTTAATAATTACGAAAATGAATGTAACAAACACATACTTATACTGTAAACATATACATCCATATGCATAAGTTATAAAATTGCGACAACTAAAATATGATTACAATTACCTTACTAACCACATAATAGCTAAAGACAGATGAATTTTACAACTGTTAGGTTCGTATCGTATTTTTAATAATAAAGCATTTTTTCTGTTTTCCCTAAATTAAATCGTTCAATGTAATATGAGCACATTTTCATTTTAATGTTTTGTTAAAAACTAATTAACATTTGCTCGTACTCACATCAAGTATTTACAAAACTCATTACTAATTGTAGTTGTAGTGGAGTGCGAATATAATTTCATTTATTGATTGTTGGCCGTAGGCGTGTGTTGTTTTTTACAATCAGATTTGCTATGAATGAAATAAAAAAAAATGTTGTCCTTGCCTTTACACACATACATATACATAAACGTACGGTCTGTAATTGAAGTTATTATTTTTTCTAGTTTTTCTTTTTTAATAGCAGTACATAAAAAAAGTACAAAGTTTATGAATTATTTATAAAATTCATTTCACAGTTCATTGCTAAAACTATTCGTGTTGTGTTCTTTTTTTTCTGTTCATTGTGGTGGTGGTCACGTGATTCAACTAATGAACAAATAGAAGTTCAAACATTCTAGTGGCTCATAGAAACAATGAAAAAACTGTATTGAATGAATTGAAAAAAAAAAAACAGATTGATATATCATGGAAGTCATACTTATGTAATTGAAGGTAATAAGTGCTAATGTTTGATTGATATTCCTATGATTTATTACGTTAGGTTTTTGCTTCAAAAAGTGATAAAATTGGTCAACAAAATCCGTGTTTTAGCTCTTTCTAGGAACTGCTATTTTTTAATCATTTAATTCTAATTTATTAATTGTCCTCAAATTGTTGTTTTAAATAGTAGTTTGTTTGCCATAATCATAAATTGATTTATAACTCTGCATTGAAAAAGTCTACTTTAAGTGTAAAAACTGAAAGAATAAATAATTTAAATAATAATAAATAATAATTTAAAAAAAGCCAACTGCAAAATGTGTTCTACATTTAAATTTTTTTTATAAGTTTCATTTAAATATTAAAAGTTTTTAAGTAAAACCACAAAATGCATTATAATTAAAAAGTAAAATTTTTGCATTTAAATTTTTTAACATAAAAAACTTTTACAAATTAATTTTTATTATTTATAAAGTTACAATAAAACTTAACAGATTTTCAAATACCAAATGGCGCCTAATAGACACCAAACTGGCTGATTCAGCAAAACATTAAAAGAAGAATAGTATAAATTATCTATAAAAAAGCAAAAAAAAAAAAAAAGAAGAGAAGAAAAATACGAGTCACATTCGCACACAGCTTGAATAAAATTTGGCAACAAAACGGAAGAATAAAAATTCAGGAGATACAGCACAGAAAATATAAAATGTAACTTTTTTGGATTATCTATTGAAATCATTATAAATCTGTAGTTGCCAAATAAAAACACACACACAAGTTCATTGACTTTAAAGAAAATGTAAGAAAATATTTTTACAATTTTGTAAAAATCTCTCTAAAAGTACTCATACGCATTTCCTAGTAATGCTCTTAAGCGAAAAAATAACTTAAAAAATAAAATTAAATATAAATCTATATAAACAATTTTATTAGTATAATAAAAGTCTTAAATAATAAAAAAAATATATATAAAATCATGACATCAACCTTCATAACAACCTCAAAGTCAGTCAATTATTATTTTATTTGATCAATATTCCTGCTACTGCTTTACCTTCTTAAATGATATACATATGTATTTACGATTTTAGTCTATTTTAGTTTTTTGTGCAATGACAGTTTTTTTGCTATAAACCTACATATTTTACATTAGGGTGGCTCAAACCAGCTAGAGTCAATTCAAAAGTTTAGCCTATAGACTAGTTTGACATATCAGACTACATAGACTTAAAAGTAAACTGGTCAATAGACTTGTCACAATATCAGTTAATAAAATAACAAATTTACTAGCCCATATACTGGAAAGTTATAGTTGATAGTTAATAAGTTACTCAATAAACTACTCGATAGATTAAAAAACTTAAAACTTTTATTTCCCAAGTCTAATTTAAACTCTGCTTAGGTTTACGATATTAAAAAAATACGTTTTTGCTTATTTTCCTTAATAACTCTTACAAAAATCATGAATTAGATTTTAAGTTAAGGTCTCACAAATATAAACATCAAAACTTAGTTATGGCATTTTTGAAATCATTGATAAACAGGTATATAACGACATGTTTAGATGTACATATGTGTATATCTTTTAGTATTTGTAATTTATTTTTTTAAATAATTAATTTAATTTTGTTCTAAATAAATATGATATTTAGAAGGTTAAAAATGGTTTATCCTTCTACTTTATACACAGGACAATTGAAAAGACCAGTGACAAAGAGGGAGAGATTATGGAAAGAGATAATGCATACACAATAATAATTCATTATGAACATTTTAAATGCACACACAATATGTATTAAATTGTGAGAACGCATTTGAATTTATCAGGTGAGTAGTTTAGTTTAACTAAGTGTGTGATACTAAATCATATATTTAAAAACAATTTGTCATTTGCAAATACATACATTAGGGTAAACAACAAATTAGAAATAGAATAATTTAAAACAGTCATAGATATTTTTTAAACCCAATGAATAAGTATATAGACCAGAAAACTGTAGAAATATAGAGTAATTATTTTAGTATAAGTCCCCTAGACTAACCATATACATTAGGCTTAATACGTTTGGAATTTAAGAAAATTATTACAACATTGTGATCACAGTACTTTCAATATCACAAAATTGGGAAACATTTTGTTTTGTTTGAAACTAAGCCTAACATTAACTCTAATTTCTAAGCTCGATTATTGGGATATAATTCACTCTAACAGGTTTATAAGGTAATAAACACATAATAATAACGTATACTAATGCAACACCCTAATCCCAAACTTGTATATAGTATATACATAGATAGACATTAACTTGATATTATAATTTTCATGGGAATATTGCAATGTTAGTATGAATTAGGATGGATTTTTATTTAAAATTACAGAAGGCCTTGTAAACTATTATTTAAAAATTTTTTGATAATGACAAAATAATTTTCTTTTTAAATGTTAAAACAAAACATATGCACACTTTAAGAAATGCCTGACAAATTACTAAGTATTATAAATCTAGTAAATTTTAGAAAACATGTGTAAATTGGACCACAATATGTTTATCGAAATAAAGTGCAACTCGAAAAAATATACATAAAAAATACGTTTCTGCCAGTTTTGCCCAAAGTCATGCACTTTTTTTATGGGTCCCTAAAGATTTGGAGCCTCCATGTCATTTTTACAAAAAGGTTATCATTTTCCCTGTCTCACATCTTGCAAACCGATGGGAATATTGATTTACTCTCTCAGGCAAAGTTGTAGCTCTTGTCATAAAGAAGAAAAATATAAAATTAAAAAATTATCTTAAAGATCAAAATCGCTAAAAACTTTAAAAAAATCGATTTCTTATGTGCGCTTGAAGGCGTTTCTAAATTAGGCGTATACTTATGATTTGTAATATCAATAAATCATTAGCACGTATACGTACAGGTATCGTTAATAAAAACAGTGCAATTTTACCGTGTAAAACTTTCCACTTGAAATTAATTTAGATTATGTTATTTAGAGAAACACTTGAAATATTTTTTAAAACTTAAAAAAATCGAATTTTTGAACGTTTTTTTTTTCGATTTTGAAGATGAAGTGTTTTTATGACAAAAGCTATAACTTTGCCTCAGCTATACAAAATTGGATGTGTGGATTCAAACGTATTTAGAGCGTGTAGAGAGGACAGTGAAACTCTGGAGCACCTTTTTACATTGTCAGGCTTTCGCCGAAATTAGATTCAAATATCTTGGGAGTGATGTTAATCTGGATATAACATCACTCAGAACACTGGTCGATAATGCATTCAGCATACTATATAAGGTTTTTGTTTTTTTCCCCAACAAACACTTTCCATGAAAAGGAGCGCACAACAGGCCCGATAGGAGTAGGAGTATTTCTTTGGATATAATATACATAAATAGTGTAAATTTATAGGGAAATTTATAAAAGTGTATATAATATAAGTTTATATGTATTTTCGCATAAATATTGTGATTTCAAATATATGTATTTTTACTTTCAACATTATATCAAATCAGTTGAAAACGTGAAAATAAATCTTCGTAATTTCTACTTATACTAAAATCAAAAAAAAGTCAATATACAAACTTTTAAGCTTGAAAAACAAAATATGGCATACGAAGCTTGTTTAAAATAAATTTTGTGTAAAAATTGTACAAATTTTGATTCAAAATCTCTTAACAAGTGATTGATGATAATATGGTGCAAAATTTCTATTGTTTTTCAAATATATGTAAATATATGTAATCTGCGAATGTATCGCAAGAATACACATTTTTTCGTTGTAGTAATAAAATAAAAGAACAATACAAAGCGTTTTATTTAGCTTGGTTTTTTGTTTTGTTTTAAACTTAACCTTTTTTAAGCGTTTTATTCCACAAAAATCAAAAACAAAAACAAGTGCAACAAAATTGTGATAATTGTTTTTTTGTTTAATATGAAAAAGCTTTATTTGGAAATTAAAATTTGAAATTCTTTTGGTTGTTTTTCAATTAAAATTGCAGTTGATTATTGTAAAATAATTTGTATTCCATATAAACAAAAATACTTCTCATATAAGTTTTCCTTCTGCTCGTAGGGATTCTGCAATTGTTGCTGTAGAGGATCATCTTTGTCTTTGGATTTGGGCGTATTACGGCGAGGGCGATTCATCATGGGATCATCCATTTGACGAGTGGCTTGGGCTCGAACTTGGGGTGGCGGGCCAGGAGTTTTCTTTTTCTCCTTTTTCTTCTTCTGTTGTTCGTAAAAGGCTGCATTTGCCGAAGCCACCGTAGCTTCTCGTTCCATCTGTTGCTGTTTTTTAGCAGCCAAAGCAGCTGTTTGAAATTGTATCAAATGGGAACTGCGACGACGAAGAGCCGAAGTGTAGGGTCCCCCATTACCGACCCCAAACAAACGTTTGATGCGTCTCTTGTTAATGAAACCCAAGCCAGAACTAATGGTAGAGCTGCCGCCCTCACTGCCGGCCACCATGCGGCTAAAGTTTGAATCTAAATCACATGAATGACTGCCGTTGAATGTGATGCCTCCAATGGTGCCGGCAGAATCGGCTCCGCATGGAAAGAGATATGTATTTAATGTACTTAAAGTTGTTGAAGTGTGCTGGCGTGTAAGATCACCCCCGCCGGCCCCGGTTCCATTGTTATTTTCATGATCACCACTCGGTGGTGGCAAAGAAGCGGTGGCTGCTGCTCCTAATGCAGCTGCCGTCGATGTGGTGTTGAGGGATACTGCTGCTGCAGTTGATCCAGTGGCAGTATGCGAGGCTGTTGTGGTAAGACTAGCGGCAGTGTTTGTATCATACGAGTGTGGATTAACATAAATGTGGTTGTTGTTGTTATTGTAGACATAGTCGCGTGCTAATTGAGGTGGTTGTGCTTGTTGTTGTAGCTGCTGATGTTGTTGATGATTATTGTTGGTTAAATTCAAGTGCAAGTTGACTTGATTCACATAATGGGCGACATTGTGATGAGTTGTTAAATTATTGCCATTATTATTGTTATTGTTGTTGTTTGCATTATTATTTTGTAGATCTGGTGGTAATCTAGGGGTTTCACGTACTTGCGGAGGCGGTGGTTGTTGTGGTGGTGGAGCAGGTGCAGCCACAGCATGTGGTGGTGCTGGCGTTATTGGTTGTATGGGTAAAGGTGGTAATACGGGTCTTTGTTGTTGCTGCTGCAGCTGCTGTGGTCTTGGTTGGTTATTGTTTTGCAATTGTCTTCGTTCTGAGTTCGCATTGCTGCGATCACTTGAGGTGCCACAGCAATCACACGAACCTGAATCATGAGAACCCGCCATTTTCAAATATTATTTTTATTATTCTTTGTGTAGATAATTCAGAATTGGAAAAAAGCAACTTATGATATGGCTTTTTAATTATAAATTTCTAATTTAATTGTATTTGTTTATTACAAAAATTGGTGTGTTTTAAAAATTTAAGGCTGTTTGTTTCCTCTGAATATTTCGAAATTTTTCGGCTAATTTTGTGCAGAGGACAATGTGAAAGCTTAAAGCTTAGTTTGAAGACATTTATATTTGAGCGTTGGTTTAAAATATTTTATTTTTGTATTGATTAAATTTAGTTTAATATTTTTTTTTAATATGCTTGTTTGTTACAAAATCACAAATTACTTTCACTTTGATTTTTAAATATAATTTTTTTGATATATTGTGGTTTGTTTTTTATTAACATTCAGTTTAATTTAAAAATGTATTTGTAAAAGCTTAAATGTTGTTTTATAATTTGCTTTAGATTTGTATTCAATTAGTTGCATTTTGAGTTTATTTAGGTGAAACCATGGGGAGGGTGTTTGATATTAATTTTTTTAAACAAAAATATATGTTGCATTGATTTGAGCAATTATTAAAATAGTTTAATTCCGTTGTTTTTTTTTTTTCTATAATTTTAAGCCACTTTTGTATCACAGCATTATAATTTATTTAATCAAATTTATAACATTTAAAGTTTCACTGATTTTTTTCGTATCAGTAAATATTTCTATAACTTTAGTTTTAAATAAAGCAACAGTTACGACACAGTTTTAATTCTAAATTTTAAAAAGGAAAAAAGAGTATATAGTCTATAATCAGCGCGTTTAAAAAAAATTAACAAAATAATTTTACTAAGCAACTAAGCATTAAAATGTTATTATTATATTTTATTTTTTAATTTAATTGCATTAACTTTAACAAGTTATTATCCTTTTATAATTATTTAAAAGTTGTAGTATATTTTTAGGCGTTGTCACATTTTTTTCTTTTGCTGTTTTAAAAACAAACTTTCACTATATTTTTTTTTTGCTTTCTTTACTTATTTTGTTTTTTAACTTTTGGAGAGATAAAAATTTTGTTTTTTTCCCATGGACAACAACAATATATATTTGTTTGTTATATTATAAAGCAACTTGCGCACAATTTAAACATCAGCTGCAGGATTGAATAAAATACTAGACATATACTGCAACGGCTGCTGCATTTCAAATTTTATAACTTCATTTCATTTTTAACACTGATTTAACACATATTTTCTCACTTTGCCTAGGAATTGAAGTAGAAATTTTTTTGATAAAATATAAATGATTTCTGTGCAGATTTGCATTTATTTCCACACTCGTATGATATTATTTTTCTCCTTAATTTATAATTTTATTTCGTTTTCGTATTTGAGTTTGTTGTTTTTCCATTTACATTTTATTAGAGAATTTACGTGATTTTTAGTTTAAAATAGTTTATTAATTATTCAATTCCATTATTTATATTATTTTTAGTTCCGCTTAAATTATTCACTAATTCTCTTCGTTTGGCAAACAACAAATAAAATTTGCTAACTTTACTTAACTCGAAATAACCAACAATCTGCAGAAAAAATACAATTCTTTTTTCGGTTTTTAGCTTTCTATTCTGTTTTTCGGTGTGTTGTCCTGTGTTCACATTTTTCCACTACATGTTTCCGTAGTTGTTATTGTTTTTGTTATTTTATCGGCATTGTTATTGTTGTAGTTCCTGTATAGTAATAGTCTCGTGTGTTGTGACTTTAACACACATACACACACACCAGCTCTCACGACAGAATCGTTTTTGTATAGACTTTAACTAACACACAGTCATACAGAAACAGAAATCAGAGGGTAGTAGTCCTTCAAACAGTAGAGGAAGGTGTGTACACGATACGATAGCAATTGCGAAAACTGCGAGTAAGAAACCACTGTTTTTCGACTTGTAAGTTCTTTTTCTTTTCGCTATTATAGGATTTTTTGGTATTAAACTCTATACTAAACTTACACATAAATTCAAGGCATACAAGTCTCGTGTTTTTCATTTCCATGTTTTTTCTTACAGTTTTTGTAAGCAACAAAAAAATCAAAGGTTTTCATGTTCGCTGGGTTTCGTTTATTTTGTCCTTTGATTCTTCGTAAATCCCATGTCGCCATACAACAAAAAATAAACTCAAACACTCACACACACACATACTGTCAATTGTCGTTTAACTCCCATCGAACTCATACCAATTTCATACGAATCATTTAACCTCTCCATCTGACACAAGCAAAACAAAAAACGAAAAAGCATTCTGAAACAAAATTGCTTTCACTTCCTGCTATTATTAGTGGTATTATTATTTTCTTTCTTTATTTTATGTCATCCTCTTGTTTTATTTATTTGCTACTCTTTCTATTTCATTTCATTAGTTTCGTCGTTATGTCACAGCTGCTAAATACTCTCATTCTCGTGTTCACTAAATAATAATTTATTTCTCGTGCGAGTACTTGTGAGTACTTTTTTTGTACATTTGGCTAGTATTTACCAGGCTCTCAGATTTGTTGTATAAGTGTGTCAGTACGACGGTATACTGACTCGCTCGAAGTATTCATACAAAAGTTGTTGTACTACAAACATTTAGTATATTTGTAGGGAAAATAAAGATAGAGAGAAGTGTTGTTAAATACCTTTTTGTTGCGTTTGTTTTTCATATTTTTTGTTTTTGCACTCATATCATCAATCGACATCGTCAAGTGCACGAGGTCAAAATTGTAACAACAACCACAACAAAGATAATTGTTGGTGTTTATTTTTTATTTTATTTTTAACTATAAAACTGAGAATGAAATGATAATGACAATTATCTAAAATTGCTGACATAGACAATTTCTTGGTAGCGATTAAAAACGGTAAATTTGAAAATGTAAATGTAGCACTGTTAAAAACTAACCTACAGTAATAATGAAAATAATATTGACTAGCATACTATTTGCGAAATTTAACAGATTTACTTGATATTAAAATAGTTAAAAAACGACAAACTGGAAAAACAAAATACAAGTAATGTTGACTGTTAGTTTACTCATACAGAATAAGGACTATTATTAAAATTTAATCCAATTAAATTAGCAAAACTTTAATCAAAATTTATTACTTTTTATAATGTATGTATGTATATACACCAACTTATTTGTGTCAAGGACATGTTTGTATTTTAGTAAAATGAAATACAAAATATAATTACTGTAAAGGCCCTGGTATATTAAAGACCTGTAATTTGCTTCAACCTTATTAACAAAAACCTATTAAAGGAAATGTGTGCAATAACACACAAATTCTCCACACACTACCACTATGAACAACTAATTTTATGTACCCGAAGCAACGATCAAACATGGAACTTCAAAAAACCTAAGGTCATAGACGCCATAAAGTCCTTGGAAATAATCGTACAACCAAAAATAAAAAAATACAAAATTTGCAAAGAGTACAATAACAGCAACAAAAAAATCATTAAAATCAAAGAAACAAACAAAAATGTATTAAAACACATGGCGCCAAAAATAAAACAAAAGTGGTAGAAAAAAACACTCACATTCGTTACAGCAGTGTTTATACATGTACATTTCCAGCGCAAACTGAAAACCATTAACGCTTTACCCAAAAATAAACAGTTACATAAATATTTGTATATTTAAGAAAAAGGAAAAACGAAAAGAACAAACACACAGTGGCAACTATTGAAACGAGCCAAAACTAACGTCCGCACAAATCTGCAATTAGCTCAGTTTCCGAATATTGGAAAAAATTTAATTCTTGTTAGTTAGAATGTATTATTCGTTCAAACTCAAAACGTAAATTTATTAATATTGTTTTCTTTTAATAAGAGTTTTCAAATTTTAATCATAAATCTTGTGCGTAATAAAAGGTAAACAGGTTTTTGTTGTTTTAGTCGAAATGCAGGTACAATCATATGAGCTTTCACTGTTTAAACAAAGCAAAAAAAAATCATTATGACACTTTCATATTTAAAGGAAGTTTAGCAATACACGAAAATTAGTAATCAACAATTATTTTTACAACAAAAACATTTTCTTATTTAATATACATATTTTGTTTTTCAAACAAGATAGAAATCAAAAAAGCAAATAGCGAAATAAAATCAAAGTAAAATGTTAAAGTTGACGAATTTCTTGTTCACAAAATACTAAAACAATAATATATTTTAAAGGAATAATGTATATATTAAAAATATGTTAATAAAACAGCTATTTATCAAAACTCAGAAAATTCAATATTTATTACACTGTATTATTCAAATTTAAACAAAATTTTATTGTTAACTTTTGCTGTTAGACAGTTATACATTAGAATGTCCCGAGGAACAGACGTTTTAAAAATATTATGTTGGGATCTATTCCAACCGATGCATATTCATTTACTGAACAAGAGAAAAATAAAAATATATTTATGTTCTTCAAATGTTCTTTAGTTCCCTCCCAGCGAAATCCTGACCTTAATATAATTTGTGAAAAAATATCTCCATTTGTTTTTGTAATGGATCCTAAAAATTTCATAATTTTGAGGTAATTGCGGGAAAAATAATTTGAAATTATTTTTGGATCACACAATGATTTTTAATGGGTTGACGAGGCATATTATTTTCGCTTTTTATGAAAATATCTGACAAAATGTTCGTAATTTTTATCTTATACAGAAAAAAAAATAATTTAAATAAAATTGTTTGGCATTAGGTCTGGTTTTTTTATTTAGATTATTTTTGAATTATGACACTTATAATGCATTTAAAGTCGGTTTGCTGATCAGGATAAGCTCAAAATGACGGAATTTTTGACACAAATTGCCGACAATTTTTTAAATATATTGTACTGAAAGCAGGATTTTCAATCGCTAGTAGGTAACTGAGACCCTTTGAAAAAAATATTGTTTTATTTTTCTTCTATTTAGTGCATTTATTAATGCAGCGAATTTATTAATGAAGCGAAATATTAATTGTGTAATTTATACTGACCCCCCTCATTGTATAAAACGAAACTTTCGTTAACGTAAAATATTTGTATGAAGAATACTGGGAAATTTTTGAAAATTTGAATTTTTTCCATACAATTTTGAACGTTTGTCATTTCGTTTTATAAAATAAGACCCTAAATTATATTATTGTCATTGTTTCTACTATTAATACTTCAAAAACCCAATTCACTTTGGAAAAAAATATGTTTTTGTTGAAAAACCTTTTAAAACTTTATAAAATAAATAAACTTTTAATTATACCTAAAATATGTATATGTGTGTTTTGATTAAATCTAAAAAGATCAAAACAAAATTTAAAAGTTGAAAAAATAGCTATCATCATTTTTTCCAGTGTACGAATAGTCGTGCCTACTTTCAAGTTCTCGTGAATATAGTAAGAGTATTTTTATATTATTTTGTCTGACTGTTTTTGTTGCCATAATATTTGCAAATATTAAACTACGAGTAACAAATTGAATGAAAAAAATTGATCAATAAACCTTTTGTTTAAGCCACAAACTAATATTATAATATACAATATGAATTTCTTGTTTTTTCCCTGTTCGTTTAAATATTTTCCTTCAATATTATATGTGTGCTGAAGGTTAAACATATTAGGGTGCTGACGAAATGCATACAAAATTGCATTGAGCAGAAATACAGTTACGGTCAAAATAATAGCAAAACTGCGCATTTTTGAAAGTTTACAGCTCAAGAAAAGTAATATGCTTGAAAACAAGCATGTGCCAACAGTATTAGATTATGTCAAAACGCATTTAGTAGTATACCGACGTGAAAAGAAAGATAGATATCTGAAACAAAATTAATCAATAATTACGAATTTTTAATCTCCAGTCAGTTACCAGAATTACGTGAATTAAGTGCAACAAAATTCTAATAATAACACAGTGACACACGAACAAATATAACCATATACGGACCCCAATACATGATGAAAGACCAAATAAAGTTCCATGTCTCCTAGTTTCAAAAAACTTATATACAAGATCAGAATCGCGTATACTTAATATTTGTAATATCCATAAAACAATAACACGTATACGTACAGGTGTCGTTAATGAAAGCAGTGAAATTTTACAATGTAAAACTTTCAATTTGAAATGAAAAAGTCTTTCTGATTTTATATGATTACAATTTTTGTTTTTTCCGAACCATTTACGTGATATGAACAATTTACATGATATGAGCTTTTTCAAAAATAACACCAAGGCCCAACATCTTTGGGGCCCATAAAAAATTGCATATCTTTCGGCAAAACTGGAAAACACGGGTCTTTCGTTTGGTTTTTTATGGTTTAGTGGTTTCTGTATATGGTTATATTTCCATGACTTAAAAAATTACACACAGTGTAATCTTAGTTCAGAACAAGACTACTAAAATTACCAGAAATATTTTAAAACACTTTTTATTCTTTTAACATCTGAAAACAAGTGACGCTAATATTTTGACGTTTTTAGAAAATCTTATTTACATATTTTTTATGAATGTGAATTTAAATGCTTCCGTTCTTTCTTTCATACATTTTTTAGGATATTTCTGAATATTATAAACCAATACATAAATACATACAAACACCACTTTAGAATAACATACTTTTTATACCCTTCACCTTCGTGAGAAGGGTATATATAAGTTTGTCATTCCGTTTGTAATTTCTATAATATAATTTTCCGATCCCATAAAGTATATATATTCTGGATCCTTATAGGTAGCGGAGTTGATTAAGCTATGTCCGTCTGTCTGTCCGTCTCTCTGTCTGTCCGTCTGTGTGTTTGTTGAAATCAGTTTTTAGAGAGATCCGAATCTTCAATAATTCTGTTAGACATGCTTTCGAGAAGATCGCTATTTAAAATCAGCAAAATCGGTCCATAAATACCGGAGATATGAGCAAAAATCCGAGACAACCTCTGAAAAATTCATAAAAAAGACAATTTTTTTCATGCTTTGATATAAGCAACAACAACAACACTGCTTATTCATTGAGTATTTCGTTTCATATGTTTGGATGGCTGTGTGTTTCATTGCCTTGTGTATATTGTTTTTGTTTCTTGGTGCATTCAGTTTCGTATGTTTGGATGTCTGTTGGTTGCATTGCGTTGTGTATTTTGTTTTTGCTTTTTTTTGAGTATTTTGTTTCGGATGTTTCATTGTCTTGTGTATATTATTTTTGTTTTTTGGTGTATTCAGTTTCGTATGTTTGGATGTCTGTTGGTTTCATTGCGTTGTGTATTTTGTTTTTGTTTTTTTGTGTATTTCGTTTCGTATGTTTGGATGTCTGTTGGTTTTACTGCCTTGTGTATTTGTTTTTTTTTTGTGTGTTTATTTCGTTTAGCGTTGTTGTTGTTCGTATAATAATGATATAAACGGGAAAATGAAGTAAATTAAAATTTTTTAGAATTGACATTTTTTTAAATATATTGTGGTGAAGGGTATATAAGATTCGGCACAGCCGAATATAGCCCTCTTACTTGTTTTAAATAATTTGAAAATCACTATTATTTTGACAGCAGCTGTGTGTACATACA